CTAACCTGGGATTGCAGGTGCAATATGAACCTTACGCAAGTCCTCCAGAGCCTACATTTTCTTCCACCTTGCTCACATGAAAAGTGTAATTAATTATCAAACTGACTGGCATAATTCAAGCACCTGCTCTCAGAAACTTAACAAGCACAATTAGAAAAACTGCTGTGCTATATAGCTCAGACCACAGATAATCCTCCCATAAATCTGCTTTGTAGGTAACCTATTTTTGTACAAAGCATAGTGCTGGGAATCCTTCAGCCTTACTGCTTGGAAAAACTTTCTGCTTTCTTAGGGCTCTGTTCCCTGGCGCAGCTGCCTGCTGCTCCCCTGCCGCGGAGCAGGTGGGAAACTGCTTCTGCCCGGTGCCGCCAGGCTGGGCGGAGGGGTCTGTGCCCAGGCAGACAGGTGCAGCGCTCCTGCCTCTCCACAAGCTGTTGCGGGACCTTGGATAAATTTTTCATGCTCATTTTTCTCCTTTACGTGCTACTCCTTGTTTCGTTAGGTTGAAAGCTCTCTGAACTTCATATTATTCACTTATACTCTGATGAATACAATGGATCCCTGAACTCTTTTAGGCACTCCAATTTCTACCGCAATGTGAATAACTGCTAAACTAAGCTCCGTATGATGCCATTCATCTTCAAATAAATTTTCTTATTGAAGTGAAGGGTGACCAGTGCTTCAAAAGACTGTGTGCTGTGGCTCCAGTGAGAATATTGTCAAATGTCCCTGAGAATTTTTACAATTGTCTTGTTTTATTTTTTTGCTAATAAGTAGATATATAGACCCAAACTTTTTTTGTAACAGCCAGTTGCTGAAAGGCTCTGTTCTTACCAACAGTTGAAAGAATACTTATGTTTACATAACTGGTTTGCATCAGAAATAGGCAGCTTCTCACCATGAGTGCTCTATACTTGTCATATTGCTGCTGTTCATTAAGATAATTTAGTCCTAAAAGAGATTATTAAGGATATTTAAAAAATAAATGCAGTTTTAGAAAAGACTAACCAGCAATTTTCCTTTTTAAAAAAGCTTTGCCTATTGTTATAAGGTGGTGAATAAGGAAGATTTTCCTTATCTATGATATGTTAGATAGAAATATCAGTAGCTAGATATACAATCATTAGAGATTCTGTGGCACAATCTGTAGTGCAAACTGGCAATTTTCTGTAGAGAAAAATAAGGAGGTGATCATATTTTTTTTAAAGCCGCAATAGCTGCTTGACAAGCCTGACCCTGTAACATTTTAAAATACTGTTATGAGACTGTGTAGCATTTGGAGAATGTATGTGTTGGATTTTTTTTTCCTCCACTTCTATTAGATTTCATTGCAAGTAAAGGCACAGAAGAGGACTTTGCCATTTGTTTTTGGAAAACAATTTCAGACTGATGTGAGTAAGAAGAAAAATATTTTCATTTGTGTAGTTATAATTTTCCTTTCTTCTCCTATAAGCAAGTCTAATACAAGAAACCCATACATTTTTCATATACTGGAGGCTTTGAAATTCTGTTTCATAGGCATTTGCGTGGTTACTGAAATGTTGAAATTTTCTTGGTAAGAATGTGAGATGTATTTCTGTGGATCAGTGCTGTGTAGGGGTGGAAAAAAAAAATCAGCAACACTAGATATGTGGGTTAAGTTACAATATCATGGAGGGAAACTCAGGAAGTGATTGACAATGTTTGCTTTTAAGAAGGCATTAATCTGTAAAATTAGTGCCTATTGGTACTTGTGGTTCCAGTTTTTCTGATGGTGCTACTGTTTTTGTCTGGTGTTTGACTGCAGAGTCAAAAAGAAACTGTTGTGTGGGATTTGACTGTTTGTACATAGGGTGGCTAACACTGGTTTTCTTTTCTTCTTCTTGGAGGAAGCTTTGATTTTTAGAGCAAGAAGCAAAATCTTTAAGGTACCTTATGAAGAAAAATATTCTCTAAATATGTGCATTTTAAGTGACTACACAGTTATCTTATGCTTTATTAGGGCACGCAAAGGAAGAAGTAGTCCGACTGATTGCACAAAGAGATCAGAAGTAGAATATACAAAAAATAAGGTATCAGAATAGTTACTGTCTAGCCCAGGACAGGGTGAATACATACATATCACATCCCCCATTACATGTGAAATGTGAAATTTAAGTGCAGATAAGACACACATTTGGAAATTTGCACTGACTGTCTTAAATCCTTACAATGTGTGGACTGCTAAATGTGAAGGCTTGTGAGTTTTTAATGTAAAAAAATCCTTCCTTATCTTTGCATGCTTCCCTGGGAAATCTGCTGCTTTTTGATTTAGTTCCATTATTGTCTTGTAAGACCCTAGGATTCATCTGCACAAACTCGAATTTTGCCTGTTCCTGAGTATTTTTTTGGTGATGCTTGTGATGCCTAAGTGTCCTTAGTGCAATAGTTCCTGCAGTTGTGATTTATGACAGTGTTAAATAGCTCTTTGCACGATTCTGGCACTTACATTTTGGGGGAAATCAACTGTAATAGGTCAAAGGCAAGTAAAATAAGAATGAATTTGAATATTTCTCTGAAGTTGTAACTTTTAGGAACCCTATCAGAATATTTTTAATATGTGAGGTTGATAACACAATGTCAAGGATGAGAAAATCAGAAAACTGGGGAAACGTGTTTTTTTTTCAATGCTCCTCATAAGCCAGTTAGTAGAAGCGTTCATTCCATCTGAGATTAATTCTGTTGATATTTTATCCTATAGTTAGATAAATACTAACCATTTATCATTGTAGTACATAATTTGTACAATTTGGTGTAATTGAAGATAAAGATCTTTACTATTATTTTTTTCTACCTTTTCTCTGTTGTACTGAGCTGTTTGTAGTGTGTAAGACCTTTAGATTTACCATGGCCAACGTTAACAGGCTCCTGAAGAGCTGTGTAGAGAAAAAAAATTCAAGTGATGATGTCTTTTACATAAATGCCAAGACTTAAAATACACCATCAAGACATAAACGTAAGATTACATATGAAATCATAAACATTAAAACAACTTGAAAGAGGAGGGTACTGCTTCTCCTCTTGCACAATTTTTGGTGGTTCTGAGTTCTGACTGAAATGAGTCTGCTAACTCTTAACCTTCCTTAACTTGCTTCTTTGAGAGATTTCCAAAGTCTGGGAGACTTCTGGTATCAAGGTACATACAAAAGAAAATTATCTTTTAATCAGCCAGTTTCTCTAAACAAAAGATACAGATCTGTGACACTTCTTTGTGGTTTTGAAGCAGGAAATTTCTGTTTCTTGTGGTTGTTGCCACTGACAGTGCATGGTAGGATAAATACAGGGACTCTGGGATGAGAAGTTTATGAAGTACAGAGGTCAGTGGTTGGTCTGGGAATGGTGATATGACTTTTATGCTCATCTAGGAAGGTATAAGACTAATTTTGTATGTGGCATCATCTCACAAACTTGCAGCTATCCATTATTTAAACAGAATTTGACTATTTTGATGACTTGCAGAGACTGAAGGACATGGGCTTAGGTTTCTTGTTATGGGTTATCTGATTTTCTGAGTCAAGTGAGGACTAAATACTATGATGTAGGCTGCTGGAATTGGTGACTGCTGTACAAATTCCCTTTACTGAGTTGGGGGATGGAGCCAGGAAACCAGGCAGCAGTCTTTTCCCTTTTCTTATTGCTCACCCCATTGTTGCCTAAATACCCAGCTGTAGCCTCATTCTTTCATTGCTGAGGTAAGTTAGAAGCATTTTGCTAGAAAATGGGAATGTGGCTGTGCACTTTCTGTGGTAGGTCTAGCAGCATGAAATATCTACAATGCGTCCCACTGAGACGGTTGTGAGAAGCAAGTGCCTTTAGGTTAAGGAGAAGAGATGCAGAAAATGTTGAGAACAGGTTTGTTTCATTCCAAAACTTAATTTGTGAAACACAGGATTTTTTACAAGCTACCAGGTGAGGCTATTGACACAGTGTGTTACAAAACTGACTCATAAAATAAAATGTTTTGAAATCTCATGTGCAGTTAGCAGATGGACTAATTAGAGAGTAAATTATTTGTGGTAGATAACCAACCAGTGGGTCAAAGCAAGGTTATCACAGGAGACGAGTATGATTTATAAAAAGAAAAGATGAATATTTGCAGAATTTGTGATAAGCTGTGTTTCTTAAATTGAATCTAGTACTTATTGTAACAACACAAATACACATCTTTAAAAGTAGATCTGAAGGTATAAAAGCAGAAGACAGGAGAAAATTAATGGGGGATCCTACTTTTTTTTTTTTTTTTTTCCCCCCA